ATTTGACTTCAGGATTCCTGCATATACCCTGCTATTGAATATCTATAGAATAAACATATCAAATATACAGAATAAGTTAGTATACACTATAATAGACTAACCTAGTACTAACAAAATATAAACATTATGCAAGTATGCAATTCTTTAAATGAAGGGGCACTATTATGCTTTTTAAGGTTCTCTCTTCTGTATTATACAGGTTTCTGTGCATGTTAATAGAATGCAAACGCTAGAATCACAAAGTTCCCTTTTTTTAAGGGCCCTTTTAAAATATCAAAGCAATTACATACAGTGTGAATAAAACATATTCAAATGAATTAAAGGTTATTGAAAGGATTGTAAAAAGATCAACTTACTTTTCTTTCTATCCTCTTCAGGACTTCCACTGTCACCTGACCACCAGCGAGGTGGTGGGATACCTCGGAGGTCGATGGGATACAAATACACAACGTGAGTAAGATTTAAAAGTAATTGGAAGAAATATACTTAAAGAAGGTGAAGTTGTCTTTAACCCCAGCGTTTTCTCTCTCTCTGGTCGGTGTATTTCAGTGCTGACAGTCCTAAGAGCTTTCCCCTGTCGGACCCGGCTGGCAGACAGAGAGTCTGCTTCTGCTGTAGAGGAGGAGGTAACGCATGGACAGTCAATCAGTATTCTGCACCATCAGCATGTACTGTATGCATTCTTATAACCTAAAACACCCTGTGCTGCAGGACAGGTCAGCAGCGAGCCTTTATCAGCAAGCACCTTTCTGAAAGCTAAGAACTAATTAACTGACTCTATTATTTACTTAACACTGACCGTGGTGCTGGCTCTGTCTACCCATAATAGGTTTCTGTTTTTGATCCTAAATAAAGTGTAATGTTTGGTTCTGTTAACACTCATGGAATATAAACTAAGCAACAAGATATATGTAAATTAAATGGTAAACAAAACATACCACACAGGCACACATGCTCACACTCCACACACACGTGCACCTGCCATAGCATTAATAGGAACGATAAAAAAAGTTGTAGTTAAAGGAAGTAGCACTTTAATAAAAGAAACTGATATGTCTATACCAGATTTCAAGAATTCAAACCAATCAGAAGACATGTTGCTTATTTTTTTTCTATCATACTTTATAAAAGCTTTAGTGAGTTATAAATCTCTAAATATGTCCGTCCCCTTCCTCAATTTAGTGCACTGTATTCACAGAGAGTGGATAACTGTAAGAGCCCAAACTAAATGTAGCTGCAAATTACAATTTAGTGTTTTTATAATTAGAATTGTTCATCTTATTATTGCTTTTTTTGGGATCTGATTCAGTCTATACTAAACTACTTCTACTCACATTAAAGCCTTGTTTCTGATCAGTGTCTGTTGTGTGGACTCCTCCTCTCCAGATCTGTCAGAACCTGTTCATGCGCGGGCTCTCGTTGGTGGGCTGGTACCACAGTCACCCCCGGGGTCCGGCCCTGCCCTCGCTGCAGGACATCGACTCGCAGATGGACCACCAGCTGAGGCTACAGGGGTCCAACAACGGCTTCCAGCCCTGCCTGGGCATCATCTGCGGTACTGCCTTTATAAACATTGTGGGGCGATATGTCGATGTGATAGATTAGGGATTTTCTATGTGTGAATACCTCTTCTGCAGGGAGCTGTCGAACAGACACTCTATTGACCTCATGCCAGTACACTTAATTATATTAAATCGTATATACAAAGCCAGAGATGTATAGGATCTATCTACAAAATATGTATGAAATAGTGACCTGAGAGTTGCACTACATACAAAATACAACCATTGCACTTGAATGAGGAATAAAGTGTCCTTAGAGTGTATAACAGCAGTTTACCAGCTGATGTAATAAGTGATTAACATTTGGAAACACTCCTGAAAATAATTAGATAATAGCTGGTCGGCTCTGTTGTGATTGGTCAAACGGGTAGAGTTGTCCCGCCCCTTTTCCTATCACGTACAATGTTAAGGTTGTAAAAATGTAAACCTTGGAGCACTACCAAAAGAAGTGTTACATAGCGACGTCACTATGGTACAGAAGTAAACAAAGGAGTGCAATGGCCTTATCATAATTACCATAATAAATGTTTAAACCCTTAAACTTTTTACTCTTTCAGGACCGTATTATCACGGCAATCAAGGTGTAGCATCCACGATAACCCCGTTCTGGGTCGTCCCACCACCTGAGGTGAGGACACATGCATCACTGAAATACTCACCTAAGTCATTATTCATGTTTGATATTCAGTTGAACTTTTCTTTTACTGTTAGTTTAGTCACTTTCGCTAAACTTATGTTGAATCTGCCCTTCTGCAGCAACGACCCAATGACTACGGCATCCCGGTGGCCGTAGAGGTGACCTACGTTCAGGACAACTTCCTCACCAGTGACGTCCTGAATGAGATGGTACACAGACTACAGCCTCAGTCCTATGAAAACACTGCATACAATTAAAAACGTGTGTGATGCTTTGTTACAAATCACTTTAAAGGGTGTTTTTGTTTCCTCCATAGATGCTGCTGGTTGATTACTACAGGTCAGCTCCTGACATCGTCCACTTTAACCAGTACTGGTGTCCGGATACCACCATGATGGACAAAATCAAGGTATAGAAGACCTGAAATCACACAAATACATTTGACATGGATCGTTTTTCTTTAGGATCCTGCCTGGCCCTCTTTCAGGGCTTCATGCAATGGGTCTCATCCATTTGTGGAAGAACCTCCGATCCTTTACTTAAATACTACATTACAATTAAAAGTGCTGAATTTAAGATTTTACTTAGTATAGGAACAGAGGTATTATCAGCAAAATGTACTAAAAGTAAGATAACTCACTCTGCAGAATTGCCCTTATCCCAGTATTGAAGTATTATACAAAAATACTTTATCACGGACAAGTACATGCAAAATCTATTTAAATCAATATTGTGAATCAAGTCGTTGTTTAATTTATTAGGTAGCCGTGTAATGTTGAGCGGGAAAATGTGCAGGGAGCTGTAGTTAATGAAAAATAGAACAATGTCCTGATCACCATGCTGTTCTTTTTTTCATTAATGACAGCCTCGCTGCACATGATCCATTATTAATAGAAGAATGTCAAAATAGTAATGAAGGAGAATAATTGAGTACTTGTGCTTTGTGGCATCTCACCGTTCTCTCTCCTTCCTCAGGGCTCTCTGAGTTGCCACGCTCCCAAAGACCAAGCCTACTCTCAGATCTTAGAGCATGTCTACAGTCAGCTGAGCAGCATTCACTGAGGGCTGCTCGCCATCTCAAGTCCATCCATTTCAGAAAATAACTTGTGCAGAGCGGCCGGGACTGCAGGCTGTAAAAACCTGCTTGAAAAACATATAGATGCCTTGAATCCTCTCATGCTTGAGTGATACTTAATTTTGACGAGTTACTGTAAAGAGAAATGTACATGATAACCTAAGCAGCACCGGATCAGAGAACATTTTACAGAAGGATACTAAATATTAGCATTTTGTGGGCTAGAAACCAGCCTGCCTGGCTACTTCCTGTTTCCACATGGACCTATGTGCCTGTCTGTGCCAGTATCCGGTGGTATGAGCAGATATGGAAACGTTTAATGTGTTGTAATTGCCTTTATAGACTAAATCAAGGGAGCAGTGATTGGGAAAAAGTATAAATGAGTAGTGCAAATATACTATCTTAGCAAAGAATGCAAGTGTGTGTTGGTTGGACCTGAACTGTACTCTGCAACATCACTGTTTTATTCCTTGAGTTACATTGGACGGTGGTGCAAGTAATTCCATTGTGTCAAGGCAAATTGTTTTTTTTATGATCGTGTGTGTGTGTGTGTGTGTGTGTCTGTGTGTGTGTCCCTCTGTCTCCCTGTCAGGTTGTGTAACACATGAGTCCTGTGGGTTAGGACAGATATTTGCTTCCTCTTCTACCTGTACTGTATTTATTACTAACTGTGGATTGCGTGATGTACATGTATGAAGACAGAGCACTGCCTTAAGCCTGCTGATCATCCACAAAGCATTAAAAATATACACACTGGAACTATTTAAACATGACTGCTTGTTATTCAATTACTGTATTCTTAAACACCAAGAGTCTTAAAGGTCACCGATCATGCTATTTTTAGGCAATAGCATAGGTCTCAGATATATACAAATATATAAAAAACATGTCTATGAAGTGTTTTGCTCAAAATACCAAACAGATCACCCATTCACATGCCTCATATCCCTCTATTTCACTTCCTGTTTCAAAAGTGCTGATTTGGGGTATAAAGCTTTAAAAAAAAATAATTGATAAAATAAAAAGTAGGGGTCTGAGCTCATGTGGGACCCGGCAGCTACTGTCTAAACTAAATACTGCTGTGATGAAAAGCCATATCATGGATTATCAAGGATTATTTCTGAAACAGTATGGAGCTCAAAGGCTTTCTCTCTTGCCGGTTATACCACAAGGGGAGTTCCTTTTTATTTCCTGCTTCTTCACACACATGCTCTCCAGTAAAGGTTAGCTCTGAGTGTTAGCGATGCTAATGTAAACATGCACCGAGCATATTACGTCGGGCTGATAGCAACGTTTCTGATAGGGCCGTGGGTGTAAAGCCAGCCTACATTTCCGACATTACGTCATATCGGACGCAAATCTGGATCAGCTCCGTTGTACCCCAGTTTTTAGAGATTTGGGTACGGAAGAAAAGAGAGAGGGTTTTATTTTCTGACGCTGCGTGAGTTCCCCGACACACCGGGGACACATATTTATGTATAAAAAAGACATCAAAAAGTGCATTTTGCATGATAGGTCCCCTTTAAACTATGCCAGCTGTTATATGAGACATCTTCAGTGTTTTCTTTAGTTTTTTAAAATTAAAGTTTGGGCATTAACATTTGACCAATCCAGCATCCAATAATAGTAAATTATTTCAAACCTCCTAGTGAATATATGTATAAAATACAAATTCACAGCCAGCCATAATGGTGTCAAAACCTCCCGATTGATATGCAACAATAAATACATTTGTCTTTTTTATTTATTGTAAGAAGGGTTGGGGCAGGACAAGAAAGAAGCACGTACAAATACTTTGATAATAAAAGACACAATATTGCTGTTACATTTTGTACTCATACCGACAGGGAAAAGGCAACTTAAATCTAAAGACATACATTTACAAGGTGTAATACAGGACTACATGCAAAGATTAATTTAAATGTTTTTAAGGTTTTGTATATAAAAAATAATACTATAGAGAGCAAGAATGATTTAACGCTGTTCAAAAGAGCATTTAAGACTGATTAAACAAATGCATAGCCCGTAAAAAAAATAATCAGAGGGACATTTTATCCAAACATGGATTCAAATCTACAAAAAAAAAGCAGTTTCCGCTGGTGGTCTGCTGATAAACCTCACATTAGTCCAAACAACACGTGTCCAGGAAACTGCCTGTAGTGTTACAAATGTGCAGACATGAGCACACATGCATTTCATCTTTACACAGGAAAGTGCCAACGGCTAGAAATAAAAAGTAGAAAAAGAAATCTTGACCTTGTTCTTTAGGAGCTAGGTTAGGTTTTGGTTGCTGGATTAGTTGTGGTACTTTCCCCTCCTTTCTTTTCCAAAAGGCACTAAAACAAAGCTATCAAGGACTTTGTGATAACAGTGAGACCCAGACAGCACCTCGTACAGTCCTTTACCCTGAACTTGATACAAGCATTGAAATGTAGTAAAAACAGAGATGTAAACATATTAGACAAGGACCAAACCGAGGAGTGGGGGAAGTGTTTGGCAGCGGGGAGGGATGGACAAACAGATTAGAAGAAGGGACACAAGCAGTGAGGAGAACTTCATTTGTCATTCACAATTGAAACCTTTTTTTTTCATTATCAGCTTGACCAACGATACGCGTTTTGATTCATGTTTAGTAACAAAAGTTCTCCAAATGTAGTCAAAATTGACAATAATTGTTCCCTTGATGTTTTCCCTTTCACTCCAGGTCGTTCCCTCATAATGTGTGGGATTAGATTCTGCAGGTGTGGTTAAATCCATAACAAGAAACCAGCCTTGTCTACATGGATGAACTAAACAGAAACGTCTTCTGTACATCAGCCCAACGTACTGACCAATACATCTCATTTGAGCCATTGTCCATCACCAGGATCACAGGGTCAGAGTAAGTAACGAAGCACAGATGAGTTTCACATTATCAAAGACAAAGACAGGAAATAGTGGGACACTAAGTGATGAATATGAGAGACTGACCAGCAGTGTCATCGATATTCAGGCGCGTAAAACGGATCAACAGACCAATATAAGAAAAAAGACTGAACATGCAAACAGGTCCAAAACTAAAAGAATATATGGCTATGTTACAGAATACTTTTTAGCAAACGGGCGCGATATGTTTCTATTGCATTTTATAAAGACTTTTTGGCTCGGTCCCTATCGAACAGACTAGCAGACAACCACGAAACAAATAATCATTCTGCGTCTCTAGACGACGAACACACGCCTGCCTCGAGTGACAAAAAGGTGCAACGTCTGCATTTAAACTTTGGGTCGGTGTGTAATGCTGGAGTAAGTCTGTCACACACATATCAATCTCATTTTAGGACCAAGGTGCAATTACAACATGTTCTCACATATTCAGTAAGCAGGTCTACTTTTAAAACTATTGTAGTAAGTTGATACTACAGAAACAAAATACTGAAATAAAATAAGGACACCACTCTTTCAGGCCTCTTGTCCTCTGAAGCTATTATCAGGAAATAGCTTTGACTTTGATCTTTTAAAAAGGGCTTAACAAATAGGCCCAATCCTGATAGTTGTCAAATCACAAATCTGAGACCAATTTCTTCTTGTTTCTCATAAACAAATGAAATGTGTCTGCTAGATAAACACAAGATCTAGCTGTGTGTGGTTCCATTTTAGTTTAGGTAAAAGTAATACTTCATCTCACCAGCAGGTGGCATCAAGACATGAACTCTAGGCCAGAAGGGACACAAATACATGTTTCACTATTGAAATGAGGAGAACATTCAGTCAAAAAACAACTGGTATGCACTGTGAGGCAGTCTGAAAACGGCCTGTTAGGTTGGTTACTAACCTGAGTTTTGAAACAGACTGCAGGCACGTAAAAAAAGGATGCTGTGAATGCATCACCTCGTCATTATCACCTGATTTTATACAGTCATCTTTATGATATCACTAATTTGTGGTAAAAAGACAAATAATTCTTAGAAATGCATCATCAGTTAGTCCTCAGGAAATGTTTCTGACTGCCAGGAAATGCATGATGACATTTTGTGTCCATCTCAGAACCGTTTACCTTTGTGTGGAACAGGTTTTAATCCTGGTCTGGGCTTTGAATTGTGACTCTCCAGGACTCCAGATGACAAAAAAAGTGCTCGTCTGTGATGGCGACGTTGGAGCTGAAGGTGAAAATGAATATTCTGCGGACCGTCCCTTGGATTCGCTTTCCTTCCTCTCGACTTGCTCTGCCCTCCGCCTCTTCATCAAGTCTCCTCCTTATCTCGCTTTAGATTAGTGTGGCAACGGGACGAGGACGTCGACGTAGTTGAGAGGGAAGAATCCCGACTGGTTGTTCAGCATGCCCTCGTACCAGTTCTCGTCGATCTGATTGGTCAGGGTGATGATATCGCCCTCTCGGAAGCCCAGCTCTCCCTCGTTCTCTGGATCAAAGTCGTACAGCGCCTTACAGCTCGGCTGCTCGGGGGCTGAGGAAACCAGGGTGGAGAATTTACAAAATGAGGGTCAAATGAGAAAAACTCCTAAAAATACAGAATATCAAATTATTTAGTCAAATATATCATATTTGATTTTTTCAGGAAAAAGGTTGTCACATTGCTCACATTAAAGGGGCCATATTATGATTACTGGGTGTGTTATATAGGTTTTCGTGCATTCAAAACAACTTCAACACAAAGCAATGCACAAAGTTCAAACCAAAACTTCCTCTGACTCCACATTACATGTCACTTGTTAGAAGCGAGTATACATTCAGTACTGTGGACAATCCCCACAGGAGCAATTTGGGGTGAACTGTCTTGCCCAGGGACACAACGACATGCTGACTGCAGTGGGACTCCAACTTGCTATCCCCCTGATTCGAAGTCCAGCACACTACCCACTGAGCCACAGCCTCCACGTTTCTGTATTTTACTGCCTGTCGTTTCCTCAATCTATCCCTTTCACTGTGACCTCACCAGAAGAGTCACACACACACACAGCTTTTTTTTGTCTCCAAACAATTTTCTCATTGTATCCAGTTCACCCCAGACTGCAGTGCTGGCTAGAGGCGGGGAAAGCTCTTTCTCTCCGTTTACTCCATACTGTATCAGTTTACAGGGACAGGAAAAACAAATGTAAATACGAGAGTGAAGAGAACCAACTCCGAAGCAACTTGAGAGAATTACAAACATTTCTTTAAAAGTAGGTCATATAAGAAGCCCAATAACTGCAGAGTTGTCTATTTAAGAAGTCTGACAAGCAGTCTGATAAACAGACTAGCTGCTTATTAGCTATAAGCAAATATGACCCACATTTACACGAGTGCTTGTGAGGGGGAATGTATTTGCTCTGAATATAAACACAACAGTTTACGTATTATCTTGATAATGATCTCATAGCCAGAAATTAGGGGAAGAAAAGGGTAGTTTGGCATTTTTTGAATGAACTAGATCCTGACTGTTCTTAGGATTTGTTAAAGGGCTGCATGTTTAAATTAATTTTGGACGGAGTCAGTGGTTAAGAATATGTAAATGCTTTTAGTAAGTCAGGCTGCAGTATCTGAAGAACAGGATGTGAAAAGCATACAAAACCTCTTTCATGCAGTTCAAGTAAACGTGCACCACAAACCACCAATGATGTGTTGAACCTGTGAGAAGCAACTTGTATCCTACTTCCTACATTTCACACCAGAAGCCGTACAAACACACAGGATCGTTTCACAAGAATTGTGAAAAAAAAACGTCCCACACTTTGTGACTCACACAGTCTGAGTTTCCGAAAGGACAATGCGGCCGAGTGAAAAGAAGGCTCTGATGATATCACAGGAAAGAGGAACAAGGTCAGTTGGAGAAAGGCCAAATGACAAGGCAGGACACACACTCACACACTCACCCCCAACAGACGTCAATTTTCTCATGAAAAATGCATTTGAGAGTAAAGTTCAGCCTTGACTCAATAACACAACAGGAGAAATGTGATTAACATATTTTGTTCAGTGGCACTGATTGGTTGCAGGTCTCGAGCAATGCTGAGTTTTTTCCAGTGAAGCTTCCGTTAGAATTCTTAGGAGTGTGTTCATCGCATGCACGCTACTTTGGCTGAGTCCATCTTGTGTTTGTGTAGAAACAGCTGGAGGTTTTATTGCCATTGGAACTCTGGTATTCAGCTCTTGTTGTTGTTGTGCCTTTTTGTGTGGCTTTGACTCATTGTAAGGATAAAATCATTGCCAAGGAAGAGAGCTTATTTTGATCTTTGTTTTATCATGATCTGCTCTCAAAGTTTTCATAGTAAAAACATTATCTTTGTTTTTTTGGCCTCTCAAAAAAAGAGCCCATCCGCAGTTTCTTACCTGAATTGCGGGAAGGTGGGGGGTCCATTGAAGTGGAGAATCCGCCATTTGAATGGTTGTCTTCTCCGAAATCATAGATAGGTTTGGGTTTAGGTGTGTATTCCCGTCTTGGGCGAGACTGAGCATCACTCATCCTAATCAAGAAGATAAGTTGATTTTACATTTGAAAACTGTCAAAATAAATACAAAGCTATGTTCCCAGATACTGTGACTTGAAAAGCTCTAAGGCTGCACACTCGGATGTATTTCATATTGAGTTGGTCTTTGTGTCTTTACTGCACCTGTCTCTGAGTTTGTCAGAAAGCTCCTCCAGCACCTGCACCGCCTGCCTGTGGTACTGCAGCTGGGACTCCACCAGGGAGGAGAGCTGGCTCACCTGCTCTATCTGAACACACACACACACACACACACACACACACACACACACACACACACACACACACACACACACACAAAATCAGCACATACACAAGATAATCAGAGTCACTCTTTTCACTTTTTTGTCATTCCAGTGAATAAACAGCTCAATTTTCTTCTGTATTTTTTGATAAACAGCACATTTCATGAAGGCTGCAGTGTACAGCACTTCAATGTGATAAATCTTAACTCATGTTCAACTTTAAGGAACATTCATCCATATCTCGCCAGTTAGTACACCTTGATTTCAGAATATTTTCTTAAAATTATCATTCAAGGTTCAAGGTTCTTTATTGTCAATCTGACACAGTTACAGAGTAATTATGTAGTTGAAAATCTTATGTCACAGGCTTCTCCAACAATGCAACATAATAACAATAAGAGCAAGAGCAATACAAAAAGAATAATAGTTATAAAATAAACTAAAGTTATGATGTGGAATAGTGCAATAGAGTCTATATACAAGTTATTGGAATGATATATATATATTAGGTATTAGATACATACTACTGAGTAGCAGATGAATGTTTGAAGTTGTTTTAACAGTTCAATTTTTTAACAGTCTCACTGCCCGCAGGAAGAAACTGTCTCCGAATCTTCTTGTCCTTGCCAGGATGCTGCGGTAACGTCTGCCAGACGGCAACGCTCTAATTTGACATATATAGAATAGAAATAGTCTTGGGGAACAACATAAACCTTAACTGGAAGTAGGAAACAGACAGACTTCCTCACGGTACCAAAAGTAATGTTCATATATATATATATATTAAAAGGGTAAACTAGTGTTGCACTCAGCTCTTTTTGTTCTCCTCACTACAGCACACACCTGCATTTATGTGCATGGCATGGCAAACAAATATTCATTCCTAACCCTGAATGGGGTTTAAAGGTCAACTAATGTAGAGCTATTGAATACTTTTATTATCTCCAGTTTGATTGTTTTAAAGGTGTAACTAATAGCATGTGTTTGTTGTATGGGTGTGTATTGACTAACAGTAAAAGTGAGACTCAGTGTAGCTCAACAATACAGCTACAGATTAGATGTTTCAACAGTTTCTTTGAAGAGTGGAAATGTTTTTTTCTCACAGTGTTCTCAAATGCTGTGTTAAGTATGACTGGCCTTCGTCCATCAGAAGTTATGTTCTTATCTGAGGAAAGGGCTAATAGAATAACCCCTCGTTATACTTTTTTACATTGGCTTGTATTTCTATTTGAAATGTGTGTGATGTGTTCTGTTATTATGTTTGTTCCTTTCAGGACTCCACGTGTTTTTATGTTGACCTTAAATGTATGCCTCATGTGGTTATTGTATTCATGTTTCTGTGGTCTTCATTTGAACTTTTTGCTTGTGAAGCACTTTGTGAAATCGATTTCTGTGAAAGGTGCTATAATAAATAAACGTATTATTATTATTTAATGATGGATTGCATAGAGGAAGAATCAAGTTTAAAATAATGATTCAGGAAAGACTCTAACACAACAAACTAAACGGTATTAAATCAGTCCTCACGTCAGTCTCCAGCAGGTTGTACATGCTCGTCTCAGCCACTTCCTTTGACTCGTGAAACTTCTCTAAGGCTTGCCGCAACTCCTCGTCTGGAATCTTGCCCTGACGTTTTTTCTTGTAATCGTAGTCCAAGCGGCGTCCTTCCAGCTTCTTCAGGTGATGCTGACATGGTAAGAGGAGGAGGCATAAAAGTCATCACTATCCTGCCATTAAATTCAATCTGACAATATGAAGAATGTATGTTGTTATTATACCTGTATCTCTCTGAGGTCTTTGTCACAGAGCCCTTGCAACGGGTCAATGAAGTTCTGTTTGACATCGATATCTAGGGAGTCTTTAACTTCTGCCATTCTCTTCATGGACTCTCCAACATCTACTAGTGCTCCGCCTGAGCCACACACAGAGATTACAAGCTCAGTGACATACTAGATTTATATTTGACTACCACAGAATCAAATCACCATCAGACCACACATAAAGTTACAGATAGCATCCAACAAAACCACACACATACAAAACTTAAAATAGTCAAAAAGCATTTTGAAGCACTGTTATCCGTGAGTGTGCAATCTATCGGTCATCATTCAGCACATGCACAACTACGTACACCCAATAACTCATAGCAACAAAGCCTGCAGCAGGAAAGTACAGTCCAAAACCACAATACACACACACACACAGATCTTACCAAAGTTAGTGTCCTCTCCGAGATCCCGTCCATACTTGCCCATACATTCCCCGAGCAGCCCCTCGGCCTGGGGGTAGCCCGGGTTCTTCACCTGGCCGCGGATCTTCGACATGGTGTTCAACATGGACAGTTTGGCCCGTGATGCTGCGGAAGGGATGTTAAATAAATATCATCACATAGTTTAAACTTGAGATGCACTGAACGACCCGCTACCGGTCAACACAGGCTGTTTGTCAGACGATTTTTTTGCACGTCAAATATACATGCATGTGGCGCGTGATTATTGCATGTTTCTAACAGAGTGGCACAGACAATAAAATCACAGCACGCACATTCAAATCATTTTGTAGTGTGGAATGATGGCAATAAGGATGCGTGGGTCGTACTAACTACCTAGAAAAAGGGGGTCAGTGGGTCAAAAAGGGACAAAGCATCGCTTCAAACATTACAAGTGACAGTCCACCTTCTTACTTTTCTTTCCATATCTCTTTGTCTCCCTCTCAAACAGAAAACACAAACAGTTTAACTCATTGCATGGAAACCGGGTTTTTTCTCACCTGGGTTGGGCTGAAGGTACTCTGATGTTTTGGAGATTACCTCCACTACTGCTTTACTGGTCACATCTACTTTCTACAAAACACAGCAAACACACATACATCACAGGTGTACAACAGAGCTACTGTAACCACACAGCTACAAGTAAATAGTGACAGGCACCACTGTATGCTCATTGGATCATACAGGAAGTTTAAAGTATATGATGTATTCCTGTTTGGATGATAAACTAAATCAACATTTTTAACTAAGACTGCAAACCGTAAAGATGTCCATTATCAGTTAAGCCAGCAGTTATTTTCTGGATTAAACAATAACAAATGTGGTCTATAACATTTAAATTCACAGGAGCCTAATGTTATGTATTCAAAACTGTTTTGTCTACCCAGCAGTCCAAACTCAAAGACAGTCAAAAAACGATCATACCAGAAGACTAAATAAATCAGCAAATATTCACCGTGTAAAAGTTGTAAAATGTTGCTTGAAAACAAACTGTTGTTGACAGACTTGTTTCTGGTGTCATCAACAGTTTTAAAAAGATTTAGCAACGTCTTTTCAAACCACCAGAAGACAATGTATTGTTTTAAATGAGGTTCAAACATCAAGAACAAAGTCCCACAGACACAGCAGTTTGCTTGTTTACTGCGTGTAAACCTAACCATACAAAGATGCCTCTCTTACCCGTTCCAAGTCTCTGAAGTCATCATCTAGTTTGGTTCCTTCTGCACCTCCGACTTTCTCACTTACCAGCTGGAGGGAGAGACAGAAAGAGAGGGAAAGACAGGAGAAAGGGGGAGAAAAGACACATCACTCATTAATGCTTTCTATTTGAGTGTGGAAACAAGTTCCTTTCTAATTAAACACATTCCCTCGTCTGCTTTGTGTAGAAAATTAAAAACAGAACTTTTTGCCAAATGTATGTGCTCACCGTGTATGCCTGTGTTGTACAAAACCTTCCTTTAACTTAACTCATCAGGTGTCTTTAAGATATGATTTTAGAAGCATATAACAGTGTAGCAAAAATATATGAATCAAAAGAACAACAAGAGCTTGTTATGTAATTCCTGTTGTTTTGATTTTGCAGGATGAAGAAATGTTGGCCCAGCAAACTCTGTTACTTTTAAGTAGAGTAAAACATGTTGATTTGAAACACAACAGAGATGTTCTGCATGTTATAAGGCCACAGACACGAGTCTAACAAATTGAAAAACTGTGTCTTTTGTGTGCTTGTTTATTTTTACATCCTCGTTGGCTAATTCCTAAAAATGTGAGCAGGATTCACGCTTTTTCAGAACTGGAAAATGAATTAAACTGTTGTTCTGGCTTTGAGATGCTTTGACTTCAAGATAGTGAAAACCTTGAGTGCTGTGTCCCTGAGCTGCATGCTTCCATATCTGAGTTTCTCTGGCACACAAAGACAACCCCCAACACAACAAGTTAGATAATAAAAAAAAAGCATGCAACAACAGTCCTTGGTTACAGAGTCACTTGCAGACTTTCTGCAAAGACAAAAGCAAACCACAAGGATACTTTTACTCATGTGTATGCCATGTGTCACACCAGGGTGCAATGAATCTGTTTTCATCTGGTGCATTTACGTTTTGAGGAAGGTTATTACAACCCTGCTTTTAATGTTCAATTGTTTCCCCTACAGTACTCGCAGGGGGAGCACTCTGGACATTTAATTAAAGACTGCAAAAGAGGCCTTGAAAGAGGGATGAGTCATTTTGAAACTTTAACACTTCAGTAAATGTTTCTAGAGTCTTTGATGTGAGAGTGTTACTTTCCTTCAAAATACAGTATATTACCATTGAGGGATTATTTTACAATTTTAACAGATCACTTTTTAGACAACTGCATAGTTGTAGGACCTAGTAGCCTATAAAGGACAGGTTAAGTAATTTGTCACATTTGTAACCAACACCTTTATATTTTTGCCAATTGATCAATTTTGGTTAAAAGATGAAGACACAATTTTTCTCTACATTTTCAAATTCAGTCATCTGTGATAGAGCTAAGGCAGTCTGAGTCATTTCCTACAAACTGCCGTTTAGGATTACTGGAATTAGCACTGGGTCTGAGGGAAGTGCTTATGAGTTAGAGTGTGTAATGTACATTTACTTCAAAGCTTTAAGTATACAGATTACATAATTAGGGTTGGTTTATCTTTTACCTGTTCTGAGAAACAAAGAAATGAAATACATAATGTTCACTCTTTCCCCAGCAGTGGCTGTTGGGGAATCTCCACAGCTGAGTCTCTGCTGTATGTGGAAAGCACATGACCGGGGGCCTGGGGGGGCTCAGGTCACAAGTATAGATACACCATCAGCTCTGCGTCTACTTAACATTTGACTCCCTACATCTGGGCTAGGATTGCAGTGTGCACTCGTACATTTGTACCATCTCATCTTCTCCAATGCCCTAGCCTGTCTTACAAAACGTTTAGGGGTAGGTAACACATTTAATTTATGACAGGTTTTACAGTATTTACTTAATAAGTCACTAAACTTGAGATATGCATTTTTTCTGACGTTGGATTGGGAAATTGAAGCAAGCAAAGTGATTTGTTAGCCACTTATAAATCTTCTGCAAATGAAAACATCAAGTTCTCATGTGAGTGAAGATTTCCATGCACACAGGCTCAAAGGACTGCAGCCCAAACACATCCACACAAAGGTTCTCAACTGGATGTTTTGGTATAAACACACATAGCAGAGGGATCAGTCTATAACATGTATCCTTTTCATTATAATAACTAGGTATTTTAGCTACTAGTAGTAGTTTGTTAAATGCTACTACATTATCACAAAGCCTAGTTTAAGGTGTTTTTTTTCACATCACTTGAAGACTGAAAGACCAAGAAAGGGGTTTTACATTAAATGTGTAGATACCAGATGAAAAGCAAGTGAAAGTCATAAAATGGCAGCCTTGTGTTCATCTATATTGTTGACTTACATAGCATTACGCACATCAGCTGATAAACATCAGCTGGCAGGGGAAAACATTATTTTAAGCTATACATATCTTTCACATAAAATACTTGTTTTTATTTGTTTAGCATTAAGTGCTTTATTGCTATTGTAAAAGCCAATATTTGTGATTTAGAAAATGTAAGCGCAGACAAAAAGGCTCAAATGAAAACATCCAACATTGTGTCTAGAAAACTGTAAATCAAAGCCAGGTCAGGGAGGGTGGGTTGAGTTCAAAGCTAGATATAAAACGAAAGATCTTCAACCACAGTGTCTGAGTAACACACATTTCAGAGGAAAAGGTGTTACTGTTATCAGGTATTAAGCATATCAGTGATTGTCAAATTCTGTGTATCTGTACTCATATCTGGCCAATGAAAATGTTTCAGATTTTCTTAGTTTTTAGTTTTCCTTTATTCTTACTTCACTCGGTAATGCCTGTTGGCGCTTGTACGTTTATATATTTGTCCACCTTCCTGCATCTTAAATTCAAATAGCAACTCTTTCCTTGTTTCTAGTAAATCAGTAACAACTACCATTTCCTCTGTCTGCATTCTGCACCACTCTCTAATCTACCTTTCATCAACACATCTGTAACCTACTGCGTCCTGATTCAACTGTGTATTAAGACTCAATATAATGAAAATGCCAGAAACAGTTAAGGGCAATTTAGAACTGTTCAGACACACTCCGAACACGAACAATGTATTTCAACTTTTGACCTCGCAATAGTAAAAGTTAAAAAAAAAAGATAGAAAATAAAGCACTAGATATCGTTATTTACACAATGTAAATGTAAACTTGGGACTTTTGAAATTGGTTGTCTGGTGGGTTTACATTATGTTCTGGTAACTGAACAGTATAATTGGACACCTCTGCACAGCTGTTTTGTGCAGTATACAACTAAAGGCAAGGCCAGCAACAGTGAGGTGTATCTAAAGAGCTTTGAGCTGGTGCTTTTTTGTGTAATAAACATAACAATAATACAATTTTAAATGAGAAGTCCACACGTCTACTGGTTCATTGCATCACTTTGCTTCTGGGTCAACCATTACACAATTAGAAACAGATAATTTGTTTGGCATTATCCCTTAGTTAATGTTTGATGTTCTCAATGTGAGCATAACTTCTTTATTTTCAGCTATAACATTATGCATTTGAGAACCAGAAGACTTGCTAAATGAAGTTGATAAACTGCACAACTATAGCCTATACTGTCTAACTTAGTTGTCTCCATTCAGGAGTAAAAATCACTCCCACCGTCACACCTATAAGTTATTGTGTTAAGTTGTTGTTGTTGATTTAACTGCCCTTTGAGACTGACATTTCAGGTTTTTAAGATTTAGTGTTGAGAGTAATTCTTAGAAAAATAGATAACAGCAAAAGAGAGACAGAAAAGCAGAAAAACAAGGATGTTTTGAAGCTGCAGGACACAGATATCATTTCCACAGCCAGCTTCCTGCATGCCTCCAGTGAAGAAAATCCAAGCTACTGTATGCCAAGTATTATTGACTCTAGTGGAGTTTTGGCAATAAAATCAGCTGCATTGCAGGGAAATAAAGGGAAAGGACACTATTTCAGCCTCCTTCTCTGCATCAATACTTAGATCACTTTCACATTCACTAATCCACTTAATCTCCCACAAACCCCTTTACTGATCTGGTTCACACAGACAACACTACTAACGCGACCGCTTCTAAATCATATTATTGTTCCTCATAACTAACCCAACAGGGATCTGAGTCTGTTCCTGACAGGAAGCCAGGGCAGCAACCAAATGTCTTTCCTGCTTAGATCAGCAGGGATAGGAAGAAAAAAAGAGACTGAAAAAAAATATTTTTGAACCGTCCCCGCCCATGACTAAGAGAGCTGGGCAAAATTAAAAACATTCGCACCAAGGTTTAGACACTGAAAGACGGTTTATATTCATATCAGGCCGTGCCATTTCTAACCTATAGGTATTTTAAATGTCTCTCCTAAGTGCCCTAGTTATCGATCTGTGTCACTAAACAAAAGACTAAACCAGCTGGAATAGGTAACTTGGTCTTCACTGCAGAGAAGCATTACCAAAACCTTAAGTTTAGGTCACACTAACTCACAAAAGAAAATGATCTTCCTTATAATAAAGAAAACTGTTCACTTCATGTGTCTCTCCTTCACTGCCCCTATTATTGATCTGGGTAACTAAACAAAAGATTAACACAACACTGCAGGACAAATAGGTAACTGGGTCCTCACTGCAGAGAAGCATTACCAAAACCTTAAGTTTAGGATACATTAACTCACAAAAGTGAATTATCGTTCCCATTACATTATAAAGACAACTGTTGTGTCTGTTTATAATGCATTACTTTTTACTGTATTGTTATTTTATTCTCAGATCCTGACTCACCCTTGGCAAACAGAGCTAATGTTAGTAATGTTATGTTACACACAGGATGTGTACTTACTGAATCTGAATTGGTGTACTGCTCGGTACGTTAGCTTTAACAAAACACAATATGAAATACCTGTAAACAGCTAATAGCACAAAGACGTCCCTTAGCATTAGCTCAAGATAGTTAGTTCAGTTAATGCAAAACATGTCCGAGAGATGCTCATAAAGTTTACGCTGTGAAAGAACACAAAGTGCCAACTAAAAATAACACTGACATTTAACACACTGGTACAAAACGTTTCCAATAATGTTAGCTTCCGGGCTGTCACCACACAGTTACAGCTACATTAACAAAGCGTTATTAACAATAGCCAACTATAAACTGCTAGCTAATAATGCTAACTAAAGCTACCTAGCTACATGACAGTTAGCTAGCTAGAAGAAAAGTTTTGCAAACCTGGCTGGCTTTATAAAACTGCTTCTTGAAGCCCGCTACCGACATCTTGAGCTCCGGCTTTGTCTTCAACTTCCAACGGAGGTGTAATTGGTTTTAACTGAAGTTAGCGTTATAGTTTGTTTAAAAAAAAAGGGGGACAGTGCAACAAATACAAAAATGTTTAGGAGGAATCATAGGACTGCGCAGCCGTCACTCCAAGTCGGGACACGCCAACTGACCACGTCAACGTCGAGGATTATTGTTCCCACTGTCACGGAAGATAACGGAGCTAAGTTTGCAAAATACTACGAAATATCGTCCGAACTAATTAAAAATCTAAGAGAAACTTGTAAATTATACAGGGTATCAAATCTGGACCAGCCACTTTGAAGAAAAATCAGTCTCTCGAGTTTGGATCAGATAGTCGCAGACGGATCTTCCGTTAGTGCACACCGCCCCCTGCTGGATGGAGCAGGAAACCCCGTCTGTCTGCTGCCGGGTTTACAGACCAGATGTTCAAAGCCTCAGGCAACATCAGCCTTTTTTATGTCTAATGAAATAACTAAGAGGTCCTTATAAATACTAATGAAATTAACTTTTATATACTGTATATATATATATATATATATATATGATGGCTTAATACATTATCTTACATTTCATTTAGCTGACACTTTTATCCAAAGCGACTTAGGTGCAATAAACCATAAACATAGAGTATTTGCTTCACGTAAGTCAAACCATTGTAAGTGCACCATGTCTAACATTCTAGGTGCATATTTAGATACAGACCAGATGTTCACAGCCTCAGGCAACATCAGCCTTTTTTTTATGTCTAAAGAAGAGGTCCTAGTTAGCCGAAACAAATTAAATTAGACTATTTTGTGTTTTTGACTGCTGCATAGCTAGTTAACTCGCAAGTGTACCACCGAGCAAAACATGAATCAATTCAACCCCATTCTTCCTGTGCAGGGTTTAGAGCTCTATACTTTGCTAAAGACTTGCTGTGTAGAAGTTAAAGTTAAATATCATCTCTGCACATCTATCTGCACCATTTGCTGTTGTAACACTGCCTGAAAAAGGATGTCTTATTCTGATTATAGAATATATAATACCAGGTGTTTTAGAGGTGGATACTTTAAAAACTCACTAAACAATTTTTTAACACCCTATGTGACCTGTTGGTATGGAGTACATTTTCATTTCTTTGTGATTGTTGAGGAGGCACACAATAACAGAGAGGGGATGATGGAAAATGTGATTAGTGATTGTTTCAGAATGATCATTCTGGGAATAAAAACAAATGTACACATTTCTACTAATTAAACTACTATAATTTATTTTAAATATATCCATGTCTTATTAACCTGTTATTAAATCATTATTTCATGTGGGTATAGGATATCAATTGGTTTCAGATGTGCAGATTTTGGGAGCAGTTTAATAAAACAAAGATTTTCTTTTTATTGCAAAATGACTTTTATTACATTCTTAAATCCACATATATCACCATTGTGCAATAGCACTTTACTGTGTTAAAAGCTCTTGGGCTTTATATCCATAACATGTACATTATTTCTTATTAAAATCTATATTGATTTAATAACAATAATCTTAAAATAGAGTGAACATATAAACAGAAGGATCATGACAAATGAGAAACCTTTTAGGGAGTCATCTTTAAAAACGCTCTTTTAAAAAAATAGAATTACATCTCTCCAAGACACTAAACTGATGAGAAAAACCGGACACATAGGGATACAAATTATGAAACAAAAAATCACAACAAAACCAACACAAGATTCAGAGATTATAGTCCATCTTTTAACACTTTTTTTTTTTTTATATAATTACTTTTTTAAATATCCTATTTCACTCAAAAAAAAGTCTTGCAATAATGAGGGTAACATCTTTGATACTTCTGAAATCAAACATTCACAAGAACATGAACTGTACACAGTGATCAAGGTGTTAAGGTCTTCTACGTTGGTGAAAGGTGTCCTGCTAGCTAAACACTGTAGGACAGAGAGCCCAGCTATCTCCCTGAGTAACTCCAAACGGAAATGTAAGCGCTGATTTTCAGTGCTGCCCCCTGGACAGCTTTTAGTCCTGCAAAAACTATCAAATATACTGAATCAGCATAGTCTCACATTCTTTACACAGAAAGTATTGCACTCTGTTACAATCTGTAAGCCTCATCGTAGTATTTGGTACATTTTAAGGTAAATAACATCATCTGTCATGCTGCGAGGTTTACTGTGCTGGAGTGCTTCTAAAAATAAAAACTGTCTGTAATACATGGCAACATGCCACTGTCTAACGTACCCAGAAAAGGGTAATACCCCTTCACAAGTATGGCGCACAGCACTGTTCCAGCAGTGCAAAGCAAACAGGCTGACATCAAATGGAGCTAGACATCCAACAACATGTGATTGTCTTAAAATGCTTACAGCATCGATTACAAATGTCTTTCTATAGCAGCTTCTTTAGGACACTGGTAGAATAAAGCTTATCTTTGTAGAAAGGTTTCATCTGGACACACCCTCGAGTCCCCAGATACTTTCCTTCAGATAGATCCGTATCTAAGTAGGGCTTCCTGTATCTACTCTCAAATGACAGAAAAACAAACGACAGAATGGATGTCCAGAGTTTAACTAGATCCAGCAGTTCAGTTTGCATTTTGTCTTCTGTCCAGTTTTAAGAGCAAACATTATATTTTAGGATATTTAACCATCAATGGCTTTCAAATGTTCTCTGTTTGATGCAGAAATACTAACTCAGGGGGGTAGCTGACGGCTCTGTCAACCCTTTGCTGTGCCATGTAGTGTTTGAAGAGGGTGAGGTAGTAAGGGAGTGGGGAAAAAGGGAACAGAGGATCTAATTCTCGTATAAGAACACCTTGGTTTAAACCCGAATCAGTGAGAGTTGTTGCAGACATTAACTAATGTCTAAAAATATTAAATAACACCATCACCCACATGTCCACTCTCCATTATATCCCGTCATCCAACCATATAGGTAGATGTCACATTTCAACATCAAACATTCAGTACATTTTCTTTCTTTGCTCTGAAAGTCTTTGAATCTGCTGGTTAAGACGGTGGCAGAAAAAAAAAAGGGGTCCGAGGTGCGAACAGTTCCAGATGCTCCTCCATGAGAGCACTAACCCCACAGTTGTCAGCTGGCCAGCACCTTGTTCATCCAGCTTATCTAGTGGGAGTGCGTATCTAGCATTTCTGACTGGTTTCACATGAGTTTCACAGATGGCAGCATGAGTGCGAGCTCGTAAAATCTTGTGCCAAGAGTTTGTTTTGGTTTCTAAATAGGTCTCTTACTGTAAGTGCTAATTACCAATTAGACAACAATCTTTCCATCCCATGACCCCAACGTTTGGGCAGACATTATAGAGACCTGAACACAAGAATATTCCTCTGCTTCTCACTTGGACTGCTCTTAAATTGAATGAGGTTTTATATATTACTTATGTATAAAAGGAGCTTACTTTTAAATATCTCTGTGAGTGGCATTTTAACTGGGAAAAGGTATTGAGGCTGAGGTCACCGATTGCAAAAGAAAAGCGTACTTACATCAGTGTCTGTGAGTTCTAGTAAAAATACCTACAAAGATAAGTGCTTTGTGCTGTGTGAAAGCGTTTGTAGGTACCCTTGGTTCACACACATAAAAAAAAAAAAAAACCCTGTTAGTTTGATCGTGGTCCCTTTAAACAGTTTGTTCATTACAAAACTGCAAAATATGGGCGTTACCGAAAAATATATACTGTTATTAGACTGAGAACTGAAACAGGCGTCATTACTGCAGACCTCCACAAAGTGGACGAGGATTTAAAGTATTTACATTCTATATCGAGCCTAGGGCGGTAAAGGGAAAAGGGGGTACATTCAACAATAGCTTACAGGAACTGTGAGAATAGTGAAAGTCAAATTCAGCTTGATGAGATCTTTAAGGTCGTCTCATAGAAAAATATGTTTGAGTATACAAATAATGTAGGCTACTCTTCGATAAGTTCCCTAGTGCCCAGCCGTAGTTCCTGCAGTGTTAGGTTGAAGCTGAATGGACCGGACGCAGGGCAGATCGAGCTACTCCACACAGTTTGGGAGCTCTTAGGTGCTCTTAGGTGAGAGGAGTGTGTCTTAAAGTGTAGCGTGCATGATTGTCAATGAGCTGCTGGTTGGTTTTGCCTCAGCTGGTTGCCACATTTTTATCTCCCCTTCCCTACACCTCAGTGTCTTAATTTAAATCCTGCTATTTTTAGCTAAACAGTATTAGCCCTCTGTGGAGTCTGGGAAGGAGACTTCACTGCCAAAAACCTCCCTGTACAGAGGAGGGAAGGTGTACGCTGTCTCGGGGTGGACCAGACGGAAAAACTCCAGTTTGTCAATGTGCAGGTTGCAAATGGACTTCAGAATGGGTAGCTTAGACACCATCTAAAAAGGGAAATACAGAGAAGCAGAAGTTAAAAGAAGAAATAAACACAAGCTAATGTTGTATTAGTAGGTGAATATTTCATTGTGTCACCAAACTGGCCCAGTAATGCAGCAGGATTTATACCTTAGCTAGTTTCTGTTCTGTTGCTCCCTCTTTCTGTAGGCAGCGCTGCAGAGCCACGTACACTTTCTCCTGCAACTTCTGTATCTTCTGAACATCCGTCAGCCAGGGGCGGTCTGAGGGAAATAAGAGTGACAAGATTGTTTTATTAGTATTGTCATGTTGACATTGTCAATTTGAAGCTGCACCTTGTGAGGTTCATGTTCGTTGTGACGGGCACATTCGATTTTGACTGCTTATACTTTACATAACTGGATCATTTCTTAAATCACATTTGAACTTTTAGATGGATTTCGCTCAGGGCGAAAATGAATTAGTTTAATGATATTTTATAATAACTTTGTGAAAGTTACATTAACATTGCATGGTGCAGATGTCAGCAGACACTCTTATGCGCTAAGGCGTTTCAGCTCTGTCTGAGCTGATTTTCATACTCTAGTGTAATGAACTGGCTTCAAAGGAGGAATGTAAAAAATGTATGTTATGCTGGAGAAAATGAC